ACGACGCAGAAGGGCTTTGACGGTGTCCGATTCGAGAACGTCCCCATTGTGGCGCCTGCCCTCTGGCCCCAAGGCGGCGACGAACTGCTGGACTCTCTCTCGATGGTGGTGAGGAGAGGCGAGCATCTCCTGGTGAGTTTGAAATGATGCTGCCAACAGATGACCCTCGCTAACCCGGTACGTAGATCGACGGCCCCAACGGCGTTGGCAAGACTGCCATTGCCCGCGTCCTCGCAGGGCTCTGGCCCGTATACCGCGGCCTCGTCAGCCGGCCCAAGTCGGCCGGCCAGGACGGCATCATGTTCCTGCCGCAGCGACCCTACCTCAGCATCGGAACGCTCCGAGACCAGGTCATCTACCCTGACGGTCACCACGACATGCGCGAGAAGCGCAAGACGGAGGAGGATCTCAAGCGGGTCCTCGAGGATGCGCGTCTGGGCTACCTCCCCGATCGCGAAGGCGGCTGGGACACGCGCAAGGAGTGGAAGGACATCCTCAGTGGCGGCGAGAAGCAGCGCATGGGCTTCGCCAGGCTGCTGTACCACGAGCCCCAGTACGCCATTATCGACGAAGGCACCAGCGCTGTTTCGAGTGACGTCGAGGGTCTCTTGTACGAGACGTGCAAGGAGAGGGGAATCAGTAAGTCATCCTGTCACGCATTATCGAGGTGGCATTCCTGACATGAAACCAGCCCTCATCACCATCTCGACCCGCGCTTCGCTCAAGAAGTACCACACGTACAACCTCACGCTCGGTCAGGGCGAGCAGGGCGACGAGTGGTCATTTGACCGCATCGGCACGGAGAGGGAGAAGATGCAGGTCGAGAAGGAGCTCCAGGACCTCCGCGAGCGACTGGACCAGGTGGAGAAGTGGCAGGCGAGGCGACAGGAGATTGAGGACGAACTGGCGCAGGTCTGGGTGGAGGGTGGCGAGTCGCTGGATCCCCCTGCCTACGTCGAGCTCGAGAAGGGAGGCGAGGCAAAGCACGAAGAGGGCGAGATGGAGCAGATTCAGGCCCCGGAGGAGAAGGAGGAAGAGGAGGTACATGTGGAGGCATCGGCGTAGACGAGGACATACACAAGACCAATTTTGTACAATCAGACTACTT